AAAGAAAGAAAGAAAAGAAAGAAAAGAAAGAAAGAAAAAAAAAAGCCCTGTGGCTTTCACTCACAAGAGCAGTCAAACACAAGCCACAGAAGGGTTAAAGCTTAGAGGATGCAAGCAGCCTTTGCAAAACTAAAAAATAAAAATAAAAATAAGCCCTCCAAGGGAGAAGGCGGCTGCTGAGGCCGACCTGGGAGTCGGCCAGGCCGGAGAAGGCTGAGTTTTCCCTCTGCCTCAGCTGGTGCTCTGCCGGGTCACTCTCTCTCCGAGGCCTGCTGAGGGGCGGGGTCCTGGGCACTGCTCTCCCCTGCCCTGGGGGCCCAGAGCCCCCCACCCTGGCTGCCCAGGGCCTGGACCTGACACGGGAGGCAGGCAAGCTGCTGCTCTCCCACGTGGTGGGGTGGGGAGGACTTTGAGCCCGCAAGGCTCCGTTTTCTCCCAAAGCAGCAGTGTTATGCTGAGTCCACACTGGCCTCCTCCCGCCAACACTGGCTCCAGGCACTGTCACGTGCAGTGTCTAGGCGGCCCCAAGAGGGACGGGACACCTCCACAGAGCCGGGATGACAACGACCACAAACGTTTGAGGAGGGGCTTATGGGAGAGTTCACATCCAGGGTCTGGGATGGAAACTTGGGCTGCCAACCCAGTGTCAGGAGGCCTGGGTTCTAGTTTCTTCTCCGCTCCTGCCAGCTGTGGGGCTCTGGGCTCTGGGCCTCCACCGCCTCATCCATAGAATGTAGTCTTGGCTCTTCTCCCTCTGAGCCTCTATAATTCTGCGACTCCAGGTTGCCAAAGCCAGGAAGGTTATAAAATTATGTTTTATGACTTTATTTCTCGTAGGGATTTCATTGGGGAAACTCAGCTGGCTGCTGATCGGAGAGGGCCTTCCTGTGGAGTGATGAGTTTCAGAATGTTGACTGAGTCTTCTCAGAGGGGAGGCCAGGGACCCGGCCAGCAGAGGCCACGAGTCAGCACTGGCCCATTTAGCTTTGCTGGTCCAGAAACTCAATCTTGCCAGCCAGCTGGAGAGTTCACCACTGATGGAAACTCTCTCATATTAACCAAGCTTACCAGTGACGGAGCTATAAACCAGAATGCCAACACGTCCATTTGTAGGCAGTAGGGTGAGGGAAGGCCTCAGTTACAGGACTCCTTCTAGCACGTTCCCTCCACCCCTCCCCATTTCACCATACCAGGGTCTTGCAAACCTGAATGAAGGATCTCATCATCGTTGAATGAGCTTGTAATGAGAGCAAAGGGAGGCAACCGACTGGCTTTGAAGGCTTTTCCATTTGGAGCCTGGCAAGACCTGATGTCATCTCCCTTTTCCACACCTGAAACTACGCCCCTACCCCCCACCCCGAGAAGGGGCTCAGCATGCCCGCCCCGCGCCCGGAGCCTCTCTGCTGGATAGTGCTGGCTGATCCCTGCCGAAGGCTCCCACACTTAATCCTTGTTTTTCTGTTGCCATATCATCTTCCTGCTGCTTCGTTATCTCCTTAGATATGTGACTCCCACGGAGGACACTTCTGTGCAGCTCCTAGCCCAGACAACATCTCCTTGCACCTCGCTGACCTCTGCGCTGGGTGTTTTATCAGCCTGCTCAGGCCCCGCCCACCCCCGGGGGGCGTCTGCCAGGGCAGTGCCTACACTAACACCTCTTGCTAAGGGCTGGATTTGGGGTGGCACTTGCCGCACAGACCTTGGACCTGTTCCCGCCTCCCAGCACTTTCCTCAAGTTCATGTTCTACTTTTATGAT